AAATATTATAATACCTATATTTGCAGTTACACTATCTATTATATATGTTAGGTAGGTATATAACATTATAATATAATTTATATGTACTAGTATGGAACCTTACCTGTTAGGTACATACAAATATACCCATTCTGTATAAAACATTTATTTACACACATTTTACATAATACCTATATTACTATAGCGGAAAAAATAAAATACTTGTTTACGTAGGTATTATATATTTCATTTTACAAATAAACCTATCAAAACATATATTTTAATTAATCTAACTTGCAATAATATTTTCACTTTTGTATAAATATAGATAGGTATACCTAACCAGGGGCGTTCCGAGGCTTCCCTATTTGGGGGGGGGGTATCAGTTTGAAAAATTGCCGACTACATTAATATCACGAGAAAAAAATGTAGTAATACTTATGTTTTTATGTATGAGTAAAATGCTAATACAAAACAAATGTACGTATTCAAATACTTTATTAAATTTGTATATATACTCTATTCAAAATGAGATCATTACTCGGCGGCCTAGTTGTGCGCATGGGCGTGGCTTTGTTCCGTGGCAGCGGCTGACGCGCCGCCGCCGACGGGAGCGGCGCTTTAGTTTAGTATCAACTGCCGATAAGTTCAAATAATTTAAAATATATTGCGGGTCTCCGTCGCGCCGTTGCGATCGCCCGGCGATTTACTTACCCAAACTAATATATTATATTTTATTTTATAAACTTCAGCCATATGAAGTAAATATAATTTAAAATATTAATTTGTTTCTTGGCAATAAGGTAATGTAAATAGTATACAAAAAAAATTACGTATACGTCAGTCATGTATAAATTAAAAATATTAATTACATTTTAATTATTAAAAATCATTATTACAAATTTATATACAACTACAAATGTCAAATATTTTAAAATGATCGTCAATATCATTATTACAGATTATATATAAATACAAAATAAATGTCAAATGTTGTAAAATTATCGTCAATATCATTATTACAAAGTATATACAAATACAAAATAAATGTCAAATATTGTAAAATTATCGTCAATATCATTATTACAAAGTATATACAAATACAAAATAAATGTCAAATATTGTACAATTATCGTCAATATATACAAATAGAAATGAAAAAAATATACAAATACGAATACACATCATATATAATCACAAATGACAGTTAGACATCTGAAGAATCCGAAGTCTCGCCGGTTATTGTGAGGATGCAGGGTTCTAAACTATCAATGATTTCGTCCATATTTTTGTCAACTTCGGTCAGTTTGTTCTCCTCCGTCTTGACATGTTCAATAAAATTTTTCCAGTTCTCGCTGGTGACACGTTCAATGGCCGTGTTCAAAAGTACCCTTACGTCATCAATTTTGAATGTCGTGTTATTTTGTTTGACATTTTTCTTCACCATTGCCCATGCCAATTCTATGGGATTTAACTCACAGTGGTAGGGAGGTAATCTTAATACAGTATGACCTGCATCTTTAGCCATATTGTCAACAACATAAGAAACATACTTCCCTTTGATCTCCTTTACCTTCGCGAGTAGTTGTGGCTTAAACATAGGTCTATCAATGACAACGCCTTTTGATCTTAACCATGACAAAATGAATTCTTTCTTTGAAGAGCTCGTCGGTATTCTTTCTGTCCTTACAGAGTGGTACGGGGCATTATCCAACACAATCACCGAGTTTGGATCGAGACGAGGAATTATCGACTCAAACCAATTGTGGAAATTGTCCCCGTTCATCTCGTCGTGGTAATCAGCGCTATTCTTCTTGGACACAAAACATAACAAACCTCCTTCTAAGAAGCCTTTATGTGACCCAATATGTAACACAATTAGGCGTTGACCCTTACCAGTCGGGTTCGTCGCACCAGTTGTTAGACCTCTATTAAAGGCGTCGTGTTTTGACCGAATACTTTTGTCGACCCTCAATTTGTCAACACAGTCGCCTGCATTAACCCAGGTCTCGTCGAGGAAATACACGGTACGACCTTCTTCTCGATATTTCCTAATATCGTACAAATAGTTCTGACGCCAAACAAGTAAATCTTCCCTCTCTGTTAATACACTGCATCTCTTTCTTTTTGTGAATACGAAGTCCAATTTTTTGATCATTTCATACATTGTAGTCCGTTTGAAGTTTGGAAGAGCCGGATCACTGTTTACTGCTACCAAAATTTTATCAATTGTCGGCAATTCTTTTTTCATCCAAAAACCATGAATTTTTTGGCGTAGCGCATTTCTGTCCAAGTCGTCGATTTTGTCGAACATACTCTTTTTGCAACGTTTCTTGTTAGGAGATTTAACAGTCCCGGTAGTTTTGTATTCGGAAATTATATTACAAACAGAATTATAGCCAACACCCAACGTTTGGGAAATTGAATTCATTAATTCTTTGTACGGCATATTTGGGTTTTTCAATTTTAATTCCTTATACAAATTAACGATCATGTTTTTTTGACGACTCATTATCCACTAAAAAATTTTAAAAAAATATCGTTATTGTAAATTGTGAAAGTTAGGTGTGCGCGATTATTTGTGTATTGATTAATCAATTATTCGATTATATTTTAAAATTAATCGACTGTCTATAATTTTATAACCGCATTTCACAATTGCAAAAAACGATTGAAAATGTAGAAAAATTACCTTTCAAAAGTAGAAAATTATGATATTATTTATTATATTTTAATACGGCGGATACAAGTGGCAAACTTCGGCTAAACCAGTAATAATACGAACATTTATAATATTTTACTCACTTTTCCTTGAACATTCCTTCTTTTTGGTGAAATAGTATCGTCCATGATTTCCATTTCAGAAACATCATCCAAATGAGCACTCATTGTAGATTATTACCGTTAAAAATGTAATAACGTGTAATAACGTTTGTAATAATGATAAAAACAATTGGCGTTTTCGCGTAGACAACTATAATAACTGAGAAACTATATGGAGCTGGTGTCGACGTAGAGAGCGGAACACAAATGCGATGTATACGTGAAATGTACAATGCAAGATATGTCGACGCACATTAGGCTCAAGCAGTTGTTCGCATTAAGGGACACATTCCAATGGAGCACCCCAAATATATGACACACATGTACGCACATTCCTGGTCAAATTATTTTTTATAGGCGACGCATGACGCGCGCACGCACATTCACCCGGCATTTACGCATGACGCACGCACGCACACACACTCATCGCTGGTGTTGCACAGGCCACCAGAGCCTTGGTCACGTGATCGATGCTTGTGGGCGGAGTCTGACCGCCGCCGAACGAAAACTGGTCGCCGCCGAGTAATGATCTCATTTTGAATAGAGTATAGTTATCATCATTATAATTTATATAAAAAACAAAAACATATATATTTAGTATACAATTTATATTAATATTATTATACATAGTCAGTAGTCACACAATTT